TCTCAGTGACATTTGTCGTAATTCATCAAGATACTCGTGACAACAAATGCACATGTTGTTCTTTGTGACTGCGGGCACTGTGTATAGTTTGAACCAATGTTAAAACATGCTGAGCATCAAAAGACGTACCCAGGATTGTGGCAATGAAAGCCAATGTTTTTGAATGATAATTCAGGACTTTCCAGCTGTAATTGTAGTGACAAAAGAGAGTATTTTTTAACGAGAGGTTGGGACATGTCTTGTCGTGTAAGCAGCGGCAAAAGTGGGTATTTTTAAGTTAAGAGTTTGGGACATTTTCAGCTGTGTTGGTAGCCAAAAAAAAAAAAAGACTATTTTTTTTAAGAAGAGGTCAGGACATTTCAAGCTATGTTCGTGGTGACATAAGTGTCTCTTTTTTTATAACAAGAATTCAAGACATGTTCAACCATGTTTGTAGAGTCAAATGTGGGTATTTTTTTTACGAGCGTTTGGGACATGTCCAGGTGTTTGTGGCAACAAAAGCCAATGTTTTTGAATGATAATTCAGGACTTTCCAGCTGTAACTGTAGTGACAAAAGAGAGTATTTTTTAACGAGAGGTTGGGACATGTCTTGTCGTGTATGTAGCGACAGAAGTGGGTATTTTTAAGTTAAGAGTTTGGGACATTTTCAGCTGTGTTGGTAGCAAAAAAAACTTTTTTTTAAGAAGAGGTCGGGACATTTCAAGCTATGTTTGTGGCGACATAAGTATCTCTTTTTTATAACAAGAATTCAAGACATGTTCAACCGTGTTTGTAGAGTCAAAAGTGGGTATTTTGTTTTTACGAGCGTTTGAGACATGTCCAGGTGTGTTTGTGGCAACAAAAGCCAATGTTTTTGAATGATAATTCAGGACTTTCCAGCAGTGGCTTTTTTAAATGAGAGGTAAGGATATTTCAACTTTTGTTTGTGGTGGCAAAAGTGTTTTTTTAAACAAGAATTTGGGACATAGCAGGCCGTGTTTGTAGCGACAAAAATGGGTATTTTCTAATGGGGGGTTGGGTAATTTCATTTTCTTTTTCTTTTTTTTAAGCAAAACACAAAAACAGGACATATCCAGCCGTGTTTGTAGAGTCAAAAGTGAGTATTTTTTAGGTCAGAGGTCAGGACATTTCCATTGTCATGTTTGTAGCAACAAAAGTGGATATTTTTAATGAGGGTTTGGGAGGTGTCCAGCAGTGTTTAGAGAGTCATTAAGTTTAAATGCTCCATTATGGGTGTGTCTATTTTTGTTCAGCATTCTGTCATCACTTATATGGCTGATAAAGCTGATTTGGATTTGCTATAAATCAATATCAGAATCTGTATAATTGTGTCTTTATTAAATACTGATAGTTATTAAAGCAATAGCTATTTAAAGTTGCTATATTAGGTCATCAGAGCCACCAAAAAGTTCAAACCAGGCTGTCTTTTTATTCATGCTTTTAATCTACAATAAAAAAAATCATGTTTTTGAAAGTTACATAGCTTTAATTAAAAGGTTAACTGTTTTTCCTACCTAACCCAAACCATCCCAAATTCTTGCTTCTCCATGACTAGTTTCCCAGAATGAGACAAGTTTCCCAGTAAGCCAAATCCTTTTTTCATGGGATGAAGGATGGTGGCAGCCCTTTGAAGGTTTGTGCACATCCAGTTTCATAAACTGAAAGGACAGCAACATTTTGTCACGTCTGCAACAAACTGGAGGGCAGTTGGTGCATTTTTGTAAAGACAAATAGCAACCAAGCCTCTATGCAACTATTTACCATTTTTAGAGTCCCACAACTTCAATATGGAGACCCTCTGACTATCACTCACAGTTCATTCACAGTTTTGAAACCTACAGCATGTAAGGACATTTCTGGCTCTTTCTTTTTTGTGGCCTATCAGCTCTTGTACATGTCGAAATATTTCCGTTTTCACAGGAAATGTACAGTTTCTGCTCATTAGATGCATACAGTCTTTTTCAAAATAAAGTTGTGTCGTTAAAACAACTCCTATTGTTTTGTTTATTTCTTTATGCAACAAAAGCATGTGATTAGGTTTAAAAAAACATCATGTTTGCGTTTACATAGACATGAATAACCTGTTCATGATCGGGTTTTTGTTGTGTCCCATTTATGTGTTTGAGCATGTAAACATCATATTCCATTCATGACAAACCCAGATATGCTAGCTGGAGTAGGGTGTTTTCACATGTAGTCCTTCTGGAAAAAACTGAACTCAGTCCTCTTAAAGTGGACCAAAAAGTGGACCAACAGAAAAAGGACTCAGTTACGATACGATATGATACGATGCAATGCAATGCGATACGATGCGATGCGATGCGATGCGATACGATATGATATGATATGATACTGTGTGATACGATACGGTGTGATACGATACGATATGGTGCGATACGATACGTTGCGATGTGATCCGATGTGATACCATATGATATGATATAATATGGTATGGTATGATACGATACGATACAATATGATACGATAGGATACGATGCGATGTGATGCGATACGATACGATGCGATACATTGCGATAGGATATGATGTAATTTACTGTCTCATAGGGAATTCAGTTCATTTCAAAGAGGACTCAGTTCTCTTTCTGGCCAACTTTAACTCTGATGGGGCCTCAGTCCTCTTTCTGTTCACACTACAGCCTATATATATATATAATATATATATTGACGTAGTTTATTTTTGTTTTTACTTTGACGTGGCACTGCAGTTTGGTTATGAAGCCCCTTGCTTTCAGATTAACTTAAGATTGGGGGGAAAACCTTTGTGTTTCTGTGTGCTGTTGACTGTTGCTGTTTGATGTATTCGACATTCCACATCTGGAGACGTGCAGTATCTTTCGCGGACCAAACTACTCCTAGTTCTGCATCCAATGCAAGTGTTACAGGCCGACGTGGTTTTGTCTGTTTTTTTCAAGTGTCCCAGTGCAATTTTAGTGATCTAGGGGGCTAAATACAATGGCAAAGAGAGGCATAGGTTGAGTTAACTGGACCGCAGACTTGAAGCGAACCGAACTCAGACCACTTCAGGGGTGGTCTGAGTTCTCTTGGAGTTTTCACATATGCGCAAAAGATGCTAAGTCACCACTCTGAGTCCGTTTAGAGGGCTGAAAAGGACCAAGTGTGAAAACACCTTAAGTCTGCTCCTTAAGGTTTCCTTAAAATGTTCACTTCAGTATTTCTGGTTATCTCCTTGTCTTGGTCTTATACTTCAAGAATCCCTAACCTTTGCACAAAAGACCTTACCAACCAAAGTGAGGTAGAAGATGTGCTTTCTATGATTGTACATGCCCAGAAGTACAATCTTTTCCTCCTCTGACCTTTATGGTTTTCTTGTCTTAATTTCTTCTGACATTTTTTCACTGTCTAACTATAAGCCAACTTATGAGTTAACATTTTTCCTTAACTACGGAAACATTTTAAGGGGTTCTGTGCAACTGTGTAAGTCCTTCAGCTGGTCCTAGGATGTATACAGGGAATATGATTAACCTGATTTCTCTGTGTTCAGAGTATTTTGGCAGTATCTGACAAGTATCTGACAAGTATATATTTAGGTGAGGAAAAATTTGGGGAAAGATAAGTCATACTCAACATTTCGTTGCATATCCCTATAGCATGCAATAACTGCATTGTTTTTTTTATGTGTTGTTTTATTTTGGGGGGCTGTTCCCCTTTGTTCTCTTCTTCAGCGAGTGAAATACATTATTAATAAGTCTAAAACCTTCCACTTCTTCCCCCTGATGAATTCTCTGGCTTTGCTGGCAGTATGCTTTGGGTTGTTGACTTGCTGTAAGGTGAAGTGCCTTGCTATGAGTTTTGAGCTATTCCTTTGTACATGGGCAGACAACAAGTTTTAGAAGACTTCTGAATTTGTTCTGCTGCTGTCAGCCATCATCAGTCAGTTCCAGTAGCAGCCCTGCAAGCCATTATGTGACCTCCACCGGGAACTGCCCATTGGTTCGACATCCCATTGTTCCTAAGTCCGTTCCGAAATCATCATGATGCCCTGTGGTTAAGGTCTGGTTATGTTTAGGCACAAAAACCACTTGGTTAGGGTCAGGAAAAGATCATGGTGTGGGTTAAAATGAAAAAGAAAGTGACAAACACATAAGCCGTGAGCCTGCTTCGCCTCAAGCCGTTCAGCACCGCTGACAGTCGGACTAATGGGATGTCGAACCAATGACATGGACCCCCTCCACCATGCTTAATGGATGAGCTAGTGTGCTTTGGTTTTATCTGTCCATAAAACTTGATATCCAGAACATGTCTGGCTCATCCGCATCTTTGCCAAATCTACTTCCTGTTGTTCAGTGCAACAGTGGTCTCTTTCTTTTCAAGGACATGTCAGATTTTTCTCAGATTCCAAAGTGATTGCTGTTGGTTTTATCTTTCAGACCACAACCAAGGACTAAAACCAGGACTACACATTCACAGCTTTTTTATAGCTTTTTTTCGTCTTTACTGTTTTGGAGATCTTCTTCACATGTCTATCAAACTGTTCTGGCCTCCTCTAGTCTTTCATTCTGTGTCTTGATATTACAATTTCAGTCCGTTTTTCTAATAGAGAAACTCATTGAAACAGTTTTTTTTTTCAAATTTAATACAAGGTGACAATGTTGTAACCATTGATGTATGTCACCTAAGTGTGCATTTAAGATCTCTGCAGCTTTATGAGGTGACTTAGCTGGTGCATATATGACCGTGTCATCTGCGTAAAGCTGCCAAACAGCATCTGGGCAGCTTGCAGGTAGGTCAATTATAAGTAGACTGAAAAGCAGTGGGCCAAGGATTGAACCTTGGGGAACACCCCATACTGTTGTTTAAAAGAGATGATATTGAGAAACACACCCACAGCAGTTTATGAGGGCACTGTCTCTCAAACACGTGTTTACATAAAAATCTGCAGCTCAGAGGGTATGTACAGTAAGACCAATAAAATAAATTGAAAAAAGTGAATAAATGACAGGAAATAAACACATCAGACTTCCAACAGACACAAAGTGTATTTATTCAAAATGGAATCATCACATATATCCGCTTTTTCAGGAAGGTGTTATTACAGTATACGGTGTATATGTTATGTTGTCCTGTAAAGCATGTTGTAACTATGTTTTGAACAGTACTCTACAAATAAAGATTACTATAATGTTATTATTATATTCATGCAGATTCTTCCATTCCTTTGCTCCTGTCTTTCACTGTTTAGCGTAAAGCATTTCTTTTCTTTTAGTGTACATGGAGCTGAAAGAAAACACAGCGTCGGTGAGGACGCTGGGGAGAAAAGGGAAGAGCTGGAAGAAAAACGAATCCATCACAGAGGCCAACACGTATCTGTGCTTAGGCTGACCGGACGTGATGGCGTGCAGCAAGGCATCGATGACCATGTCAGGGTTCTTGAAACCCGTCCTGCATGTGGACATGAAGTACTCGTTGGCCAGATCGATGTACTGGCGGTTGAAGATTTGCTTTTTTTCGTCGTCCAACTTCTTCCAAATATCCAAACCTGTTTTCATCCTCAGGATGTTCGTGGCTTGGCCAAAATTACCCGGCTGGATGATGCTGACCTTAAAGTGGAAAAACAATAAACATGAGTTTTAGCACCGTGAATGTACGTCCACTAAAAGTCTGCCACTGACAGGCTCAGATTGTGATTATAAGTGTCTGACATCATTATGGAAAGGATCCCTACGATGCAGTGATGATTGCTGGGTAATATGGGTGTTGATGTTATCCAGTGTCAAGTCTCTAAACATGTGACGAGACGATATGTGCACTAGGGCCTGTCATGGGGGTTATCACAACCACCTTACACCACTGAACACGAACACTGAACACGAACTGAACTGGGCAGAGATGAAAACCTGGTCTGACTCTGAAGTCGTCGAAATCTGGCGCTTGGGCAGTGACGTGTCCCCTGCTTCCCCCCCTGAAATTCATGGCTATGATTTTAAGCAACTTCGGGCTTTTTTTTGTGGGCGGCATCAGACACTGATGAAAAAAGCTGTCCTTAAACGACAGCCTGATACGTGGCCGGTTGCCGTTGTGGTTTAATGGTGCTAAGCGACGTAATGCACCCAGGGTACTTTGCATGTTGTATCGTGTAAAGTCCGTGACCAAATGTCGATACGTGACGAGGTCGGAGTGAGAATGTATTGGAAATTTCTAGCCCAGATAAACAAGTTTTCCACCTTTGGACAGATCCAGGCTCGTCGTTTGACTGTTCCTGTCTTTATGCTAAGCTAAGCTAACTGGCTGCTTCATAGAATGGTATCAATATTCTCATCCAACTCCCAACAAAAAACAAATACATATCAAATTAATACTAATAATTTGGTCAAAAACAGATTAAGTAAAATCAACAGTTGACAGACTAACAACGACACGCATTGTACAGTGAATAATTCGAAAGCTATTTCACTTCATCAATGGTTTCTTTTTACAGAGTGAAAATGAGCCTGCGAACTTCCCACAGGCAACATATCTTCTCCACCACAGACTTCCCACAATGTTACGCCTCAATGCTTCAAAATGTGTCACAGGATTTGTGTGTGGGTTGGCAACATTACTGTACCTTCACACCAAAACTGGCCATTTCAACCCGTAGGCAGTCTGCGAACGCCTCCAGGCCTCTCTTTGACACGCTGTAAGCTCCCATGTTCAGGCAGTTGAAGAAGGCAAAGATGCTCGACATGTAAACCATCCGGCCTGAAACACATAGAAACGTTTTTACATCTCACAGCACGACAATGAGAATGTGAGGCTACAGTGAAGTGTTTTGAGCTAACCTTTGGTGGCACGAACCAAAGGTAGAAATGCAAAAGAGGTCCTGATGGCGCCGAACAGGTTGATGTCGAGCATGGCGTGGTAATCTTCGATAGTGCTCCATTCGATCTCAGCCCAGTCGGTGATGCCAGCGTTGTTCACGACTGCCCACAACCCTGACAACATATAAAAAGTTATTCTCCAAGAGATGATTTAAAGAGTCGAGCATTTATTTAAACAATTATATTTGTGCAACCACACTGGAACCGTTGAGTATGCATCTGATGTTATCATCTTGTTCTAAGACTCCTTCAGAGGCAATTGCATGATGCTAAACTCTTCAGAGATCAAGCATGAAACCAAACTGTGATTTACAGTCAAGATGATGTGATACTTATGAAGTCAAGTTTAAGCTTCTTAAGTTTTTGAAATACTAAGTAAGAATATTTTCTTATTGCCTTCGCATCTCAAAATAAGGACTAAATATACTAAGGGTAACTCATGCAAGTAAGTCTAAATTTTGAGTTAGCCTAAGGTTGATGAATATACTGATGGTGAATCAAAAGTATGAAGTTTCTCATTACTTATCAGCACTATGACTTAATGTCTCAAAATTGCACCTACAAGGAAAAGAAGGGCTTTAGGTCAAATTTTGAAACTGTAAAGTAAAAAAATGATCAAATACTCATCAAATTTATGAAATTCAGATAAACATAACTTTAACATATGATCAGAAATTATTTTACAATACTTACTGTAGCTTCAGTTCCCATTAAAGCTGCACACAAGAGAAACTAGGTCATTTTTTACAGCGTACTAAACTCACCCTTCTCTGGCAGGCTCTCCTGGACCGTCTTCTTCGCCTGCTGCACATCTTCATCTCTGGTGACGTCCAGCTTGAGGATTTTCAGATTACTGGAGCTCTGTCTGGCCAGACTCTGGGCACCAGCTCCTTCTGGAGACAAACACCCGGCAAAGACCACAAACCCTTTGTGGTCCAAAGAGCGAGCCAGCTGATATCCGAAGCCGCTGTCGCAGCCAGTTATCAGCACAGCGTAGCCGTAACCGTCCTGCACATGGCTGCTGCGGTGGCGGGAAACCAGCTTGGCAAGGAAGAAGAGGAGCACGACGGACATGGGGACGATGCCGATGATATGGCCGATGATGAAAATCGTGTTCATGCTGGTTGGAGCGTCTGTGAACCACAGTGTCTGAGGAGCGTCTGATAGCACTGCCTCGATCCCTATTCATAACACAGCGACAGTTCACTGCAAGGGCTGTTTTTATTTCTCCAGATAGACAATTTGTTCAGGTCTTCATGTGACTTAAAAGACACCACTGTTGTCCAGGATGCTCTCACATTTCCAGTTTATAATTGTTTCCCAACTGTCTACGTCATTATGAAACCAGAACAACACACACTGAGGATGATTCATGTTCACCCCTGCCACTTAAAAAGAGCCAAACATATTTGTTATACTGTGCTGAAGCAGAGTGACAATTCTAAGACATTTAAATCCATGCCACAAAATAGTCTGAGCTGCTCTGATTGCAAATCAAGGATTCCCAACAATGCCAAGCAGTGGCTGCTGCTGGTCTTTCAAACAGGGGAAGCTCACTTTAAGTTTACATCATACAATTTGTCATATTGTTGCGAGGCAGTAACTTATAAAAGGAACATTTAATGGAAGCCGTTTTTCAACCACACTCATGCCATAGAACCACAGCAACACACACCTCAAAGATTTTCAGTTGGGTTTAACGGTAAACATGAGCTATATCGCTCACTTCTGTCAGAAGTCTCCACTTGCAAATACCCACATGGGACTGAGCTCGAAATGCGACGATGCCGGTGTGTATTTCCAAAGCGCTGTCAATCACAAAGGGGTTCAGCCGTTTAGACAATTCCTCCTATCATCATGCATACACCGAGTGTGCTCTCCCGCCTACCGCTCCATTAGGTCCCAGGGAAGCTTAGCCTTCCTGGAAGTGACCATTTTGTCGCATTTATCCAACGACCGTCTCGCTTTGCTGCATGAAAAAAACCTGCTCAGCACTATCTCAAGGCAATTGAATCGAACGCAACTGGACATAGTTTGGTCTTAGAAGATGTTTCACCTCTTATCCAAGAGGTTTCATCAGTTCATGCTTGTCTGACTAGGCTGGAACTAGTCTGACAAACTGGTGTGGAAACCCAGGTATTTAACCTCTGGGGAGGTCTTCACAAGGCCTATAGGCCCGTTTCCACTGAAGAAGTTCCTGGTACTATTTGGGGGGCAGGAACTACTACAGGAACGTCCTCTCGCTCGGCCCTCTCAACCGCCGTGTCTCCACTGAGAGAGCGGAGTAGGAGGAAGGTTCCTGTAAAGTTACCGGGCTCTGGATGTGACGTAATCGTTGCGCGACCATTTTGACCGGGGCGACGTAGGGACGTAGTTAGCTGTTAGCCGTTAGCGGTGTTTGTATTAACTCAATAACTCAATAAATGGTCCGTGAAAAAAATATTTTTTCCAGCGGATGTCTTAGTTACAACATGATTGAGCTAACTGGAGTAGTTTCATGTCGTATCCGACAACGGGAGGCTTTTAACAGATGACGTCCTGATGTTAGCTTTGCTGCTGCTGTTAGCTGTCCCTGTCAGCTGATACTTTCTGGACATCGTGATTTCCCAAAACTGAATAAATACCACACATAGCAACCCAAAACTGCTTTGCTAGCTCAATCATGTTGTAACTAAGATATCCGCTGGAAAAAATATTTTTTTCACAGACCGTTTATTGAGTTAATGAGGTATTACAGACACCGCTAACGGCTAACGGCTAACAGCTAACGGTTAGCCCAGCTATCTACGATAACCATAGCAATTACAAAACGTCACATTCCGCCTTGAGTATATCCAATCAGCACCAAGTAATCCCCAAGCCCCAGCCAGGAGTCTCTTGGGCCGTTCTGAGTACCTACTCCGAGGCAGGGACTTGTTTAGCCCCAGTAAAAGTTCCGGAACTCTGTCCTTTGGGGGTGGTTCCTGCGGTGGAGATACGCACCAACGGCCCCGGCCCCGTAAAATTACCCCAAAGTTCCTGCAGTGGAAATGGGCCTAATGATGTCATTGGTGCGTTAGCGCTCCAAGGTGTGTCAACGACAGTGGTCGTTGGAGTCGTTGGAGTCACATGAGGCCATTTGTGAACGACCGCTGTTGTTAGAGGTTAAGCTGTTAAATCTCCTGGGCAAGGATGAAAGGACAGCATTATAGGTGGGGGATAGGTGGTGTCGCAGACCTCCTTCTCTGTTGAGAGATTTTTTTTTCCACTTTCACATAGATGGATTAATCAATTCATGTGAAAGTGGAAAAACCATCTCTCAACAGAGGGATGGCCTCCTGTGACTCCAATGACTCAGCAAGAGTTTTAATGACTGTTGCTGACACACCTTGGAGCACTAATCCATATATGTGAAACTGGAACAACCATTGCGTTTGAACAACATAGTCATGATGTTAAACGCATCCTAACTCACGTTTAAAGCAACACTTACCTTTCTGGAAATTTTACTCTTTTCTTTGTTTAGGTTAAAATGCTATTAATAAGCTGATGGCACACTGAAATGTAAGAATTCCACCAGAGATGAAAACTCATAATTATACCATTCTCATATGGTTCTAAGAAAACTCCGACCAATCATGTTCAAATTTTTTCTAAGTGCTGTAAATACAAGAAAGGTAAGAGTTGCTTTAATGCAATGTAAATTCTTATTTTAATGTAAATTCAATGGTGCATATTTGACCATTTCTTCTGTGAAATTTCAGGGAAAGTTCAGCTACCCTTGTTGTGTCAGAGCAAAATAACGTGGTCTGTGTTTTTTAACTTTATCAGTCCCCAAGGGGAAATTGTCATATACACACAAGCCCGACATACACACATGCACAAACAGGACCTATACATGCATTAAAAGGAGAGATGTCGGAGCGAGGGGGCTCTGGTGGGTTTGGCGACGGCGAATTCCGGGGCTGTTTCTGGTTAAACAAAAAGGCCATTTCTTCCTTTTAATCCTGTTACTAATCAGTTTTCTAAGGCTTAAATTATAAAAAATTACTTAAGAGCACAGGGCTATTTGAGGACAGAGGGCCGTGGCCTGACAATGACATAATAAAAATGACATAATACTAATTCAGGGAAATGAACCGAGTGTTCGGCAACATTTTCAAATGACACAACCAGCAAATGTTATAGTAAGCTATACTGTGTTGAAACATTATACACCGATCAGCTACAGCATTCAAACCACTGCCAGGCGAAGTGAATAACAATGATCATCTTGTTATAATACAACGCTCTGCTGGGAATTGTGTGGTACTGCCGAATTATGGAGCAGCCACCTTGTATCGGACTTAACTCTGACCTGTTAAGGCGTTGACACCGGACCTTTAGGGGTGTCCTGTGGTGTCTGGCACCAGGGAGGTGGTGGCAGATCTTTTGCGTCCTGTCGGTTGAAATGGGGTACCAGCATGTCCAATGGATGCTCGATTGAATTGGGTTCTGGAGAATCTGAAGGCCAGGTCGATGCCTTGAGCTCTTTGTCATGATCCTCGGCTATTCCTGAATAGATTCTGTGGTGTGGCACGGTGAGCTGTAGCTGATCGGTGTATAATGTTTCAACACAGTATAGCTTACTATAACATTTGTTGGTTGTGCATTTGAAAATGTTGCCGAATACTTGGTTCATTTCCCTGAATTAGTATTGTGTCATTTTTATGTCAGGCCACGGCGCTCTGTCTTCAAATAGTCCTGTGCTCTTAAGTAAATATTTATAATTTAAGCCTTAGAAAATTGATTAGTAACAGGATTAAAAGGCATGGTTGTTTGTGTTCAAAATTTTCCAAGAAAGAAAACTGCTCCAGGCGTGCTCACGTAGATAATTTCCAAAACCCTCAATCTTGTGTCACTAAGATAATAATCTACATGCAGCAAAGGGCCATGGGTTGGAATTGAATCTGCTGCTGCTGTGGAAAGGACGTGACCTTTGTAAGTGGGGTATCTGCTCTACCAGGTGAGCTAGTGGGTGCCCCACTGAATCAGTATTGTTTTGCAGGAAAACTCCACTTATGTCATCATGTCGCATTAATTGATGCTTGAAGCAAAGCGCTCATGGTGCAAGGTCAAAATGTGACAAAACCACTGCTGTTTTGGAACAATTACGTGCATCAAAACACTTCCGGTTTGTTGGGTTTCCCACCCAACAAACAACCGCTCAGATGACATACTAAACATCACCACCCATAGAAAATGAAAATGGTGCTACGTTTATCACAGTTTGGCTGCTATGTCAAATTGCTCAGCTCAGCTCTGCTTCTGAGGGCTTGTCTGGATCACATTCAGCGAACAACTGTCTACTGATCACGTCAATGCTGGCAACTTTGCCGGTATTCACCATACAGCAGATCACAGAAGCTGAAGTGGCTAACATTATCAGCTCGCTTAATAATTCCAAGGCCAAGGACATCCATGGTCTTGACACCATGTTTTTAAAAGCACACAAAGACTTTCTTAGTTAACTTATCCATACGACACTCAGTTGTTCCATCTTCTTGGAAGGTGGCCATAGTCAATCCCATCTTCAAGTCTGGAAGCAGGACAGACATGAATAACTATAGACCTATTAACATCCTGCCAGTCACCTCCAAAATAATTGAGAAATGGGTACTGACACAACTTACCGAGCATCTGAACCTTGGCCATACTCCGTTGCACCCCGCACAATTTGGCTTCCGGGAACACCACTCGACAGAGTCAGCCATTGATTTATTTTTAGAGAAAACTAGACAGTTTCTTGGTAAGTCAGCGTGTGTTGGTGCAGTATTCCTGGATCTGAAAAGGCCATGTGATACGGTTGATTATGCAGTGCTGTTAAACAAACTCTATTCTTTTAACTTCTCAGAACAGGCTACCATGTGGATAAAATCATATTTAACTAATAGGAAACAGTGTGTTGTTGTTGAGAGGGTTAAGTCCTCTCATCTCACATGTTCAGTGGGGGTCCCGCAAGGCTCGATCCTTGGGCCAATACTCTTTTCACTTTATATTAACGATATGCCACTTGCATGCAAAAACACCTGTATACAAATATACGCAGACGACGCAGTTATACTAACATCAGCAAAAACTACTCAAGAGGCTGCCTGCATACTTACAACGGAATTGACTCACATCCACGAATGGCTCTAAAAATCATGTTTGTTGTTAAATACAAAAAAAACTGTCTGCGTGTATTTTTCCAAAAAACCCAAAGGATCTTACACACTCTGTTGTCTTCCTGGGAGGAGAGGAGCTTGAGCTAGTAAGTGAGTTCATGTACCTAGGGGTCACCCTGGATTCAACCCTCACCTTCAGGAGCCACATTAAAAAGATCTCGAGAACAATTAAATTCAATCTTTCCTATTTCAAGTTAATTAGGCCATCTTTGACAACAGCGGCAGCCAGGGTGTTTATGCATGCAATGGTCTTTTCTCACACTGAATATGGATTCACTAA